GGAAGGGGAGGGGGAAGGAAGTGGAAGGGGAGGGGAAAGGGAAGGAGGGGGAATGAAGGGAAGGCGAGAAAAGAAAAGGAAAGGAAAAAAGGAAACAAAAGATCAGGGAAACAAAATTTCTATGTGCGGCTGCTTTTGTTTACGTCTCTTTTGTTTTTTTTGTAAAAAAATAAACGTAGACTTTTATGCATCGGTAGGCTTAGCCTTCTTGTGAGCTGGTGAAGCTTCGACAAAGCAGTCTGTTACAGCCCCCTCGTTTGTTGTCCTCTTCTCCCTCTCTGCCTACGGTGTACCAGGCAGCTCTGTTTGACAATATATATCCCCACACTTATAAAAATCGCTAACGTGAGAAATCAGACATCCGGGCCGTCCGTGGTCCTACTGGTCCGATGACCCGGATCGTCGGACGATCTTAAGATTTTAAGAACGGGCGAAGATCTGGGCCGTCTGTGGTCCTACCGGGCCGACGGCCCGGATCGTCGCACAATCTTAAGATTTTAAGATCGCGTGAAGATCAGGGCCGCCTGTCGGGCACCACTTGGCCAATGGCCCAGATTAGAACTTTGCAGGCAAGAAAAGGTCCCAGGCCGCTCCTCTATTCGGTAGTGCCGAATGCGTCACGGACCTGGTCGCTCGCCGGTAAACGAACTACGCCGCCGTTCGACCGTTCGGCTGCTCAGCAGCAACACACACCACACGGACACATGCACGCGAACGCAAGCACACATGCACGGACACACACGCAGGATGCATGCATATGCATCCTGGGCAGACTGTCGGGGTTCAACCAGCACACACCACACGGACGCACGCACGTCGCATGTGAAACGCAAGCGCACATGCACGGAGAGAGAGAGTTGTAATGATACTCATCAGACGTCAAAGTATAAGTAGTCTCAAGTCTGCACAAAGTCTCCAGTTAACGTGAAGTGATATCTGAGACAGTATCTCATTACCAATAGACGAAGAGAGTGGAGGGAGGGTAGACAAAGTAGGGGGTGGGAGAGATGATCAATGACCACACAAAAGTAGCCCAAACATTCCCACTCCTTCTCCGTGCTTCCTCTCCCTCTACGTCACCAATCAACAAACTGTAACAAGTCTGATAACTCCTGATCACATAGAAGTGCCACGTGGCACTACTCCCATGGAGACAATGAAGGCAATCAGCAGCGTACAATATCGACGTCAGCCTCAGGTAAGTATCCCGTCCCTCAATCGTCCACAGATCCGATCTCCCTCCTTATCGCAACCAGTCACCTCATGTAGACAGCGCAGTGTGGTCAGTGCCACGTCAGCAGACGAGACAGGTGGCATGCACCACATCAACAATGAAGACAGGTGGCAGTGCCACATCCGCAATGCAATGTAGACAGGTGGCATGCGCCACATCGACAATGTCGACAAGTGGCATGCGCCACATCAGCAATGTCGACAAGTGTCATGCGCCACATCACCAATGTCGACAAGTGGCATGTGCCACGTCACCAATGTCGACACCTGGCATGTGTTCCATCAGCAATGTGTGGCACACAGAACAGAAGGCGCCAGCATGCTACCACAGTCCCGCGTTGTCGGCCTCAGTACTAGTGCAAAGCCAGCGTCCAGCCAGCGACCAGCCAGAGTCAAGCCAGCGTCGAGGCAGCATAGCAAGACTGAATGTTGACCTCCTAGAGACCGAGCCTTATGTAGTGTTTGTCGAGGCAGTCTGGCCTCAAGGCTCCCTTACACAGTCGTACAGATTGACTCGCAGCCCAGGGCCTGGATTGTGTGCAGTTGCAGACTCCCCTTGGTCCTGATGCTGTCCGGGTACCTGCACACAAACAAGTGTGTGTGCCTGACCAGCGGCCTGGGCTGGGGGTACACTTCGACTTTGACTGTTGGCTGTTCGACAGTTGACTTCAGTCAACTGTCACTCGTCCAGGGCCTGAATCTTTACGAGCAAAAGAACCCCTCGGTCTGAGTGCGGAGGCTGGCAAGGGCATCAGAAATTGGACGAGGCATAGTGCATGGGTTGGGTTATTGCACAGTTGACCCTCACCTCCCCATCTAACTAACCGCCGGCCACATAGCGATCTCTGTTGATGTGGCACTGCCCTGTAACTAGAACCAGCAATGGGCCAACCCCGACAAACTGAATTAGAGAGAGACACACACACAGTGAGAGAGAGAGAGAGAGAGAAGACTGCGCGCGCATGCGTCGGCACACAGTGAGTGAGAGAGAGAGAGACAAGACTGCGCGCGTGCATCGTCGGCACACAGTGAGTGAGAGAGAGACCAGACTGCGCATGTGTGCGTCGGGATTTTTGCGCGTGCAAAAGAAAGAAATATCGTGCTACTCGATTTGTGTGTCATCGTTATGCAGGGGCTTTGCATGATCGACCGGCTTAGTGATCGATCCATTAGGGGGGCGGGGAGAGAGAGAGAGAGAGAGAGAGTCCACCATGAATGCATCATCTGTCATAAATGTTTTTGCGAGCGAAGCCACAACTGGTCATCTAGTTATATCTATACATACTAAAGGATGGAGAGGGCCCGGCGACATGCCCTGTCGCGGGCCCAGCGAATTTGTCGGGAGGCGGGCGGCACTGGGAGGAGGCCGGAACCCAAGGAAAATCGGCACCGGTTGCCGAACGGGAATCGGGGGCCGGGACTGGAGCGAGGAGTGCGACTGGAGGGCGCGCCTGAATAGTGACGGGCCACGGTGCCAACCGGGCTGCTTGGACCCCACGGCGGACCCGGCGCATTCAGGCTGCGGAGGATCGCATGCGGCCGCGGGAAAAAGTAGCGGGGTGCGCGTTTGTGTAGGGGCGGGCCCGCATCGGTCGGTGCGCGCAGCAGGGAGAAGCGCGTTCGCAGTGCGGCGGGGCTCGCGTTGTTTTCCTGACTGTGCGTGGAGCGGTTTCGGGCGGCAGCGTGGCAGTCGCGAGGTTGGAGAGTTATCGTCTCTCTCTCTCTCTCTCTCTCTCTCACACACACACACACACACACACACACACACACACACACACACACACACACAC